TCTATGCACTATGCCCCTAGAGTTTTCTTGTATTAACAATCCAGTCACCAAAACAATTTTTTACATAGCATTTTCTGTGTAGGGTTTGAGTCTAGATTCTCTCATAGTTTTTGGATATTGTCTCATTGCTATACCCTTAAAATATACAGATTTTGGTATAATAAAAAAATATTTTAAATCATTAAAATCAAAATACATCATTATATTTTGAAAATACAATAGAAGCACAATACCAAAAATCCAAATTCATAAATTTCACAACAAACTTGCATTATATAAAACATCTGTAGCATTATTTTATTTTACAAGTGACTGTCAAATGTGGTTAATATTATTACGTGGTTATTAGTCTTTACACCTGGTTAACTAAATACTTAAATATGATTTATTAAATATTTCAATATGATTATGTTATGAATGGTTAAATGAATGGAATTATATATAATTGTCTAAGTGCGGTTAACTGGGTTTTGATATGATGAGGTAATTGAAATGGTTAATTATTATTAAATTTATATTACAAGAGATTGATAGTGTTGAGAGTATTTAAATTTCTATTAAATGTTAACTTTGTCTTACAATTGTTTAAAACCATTAAAAATACGTTTTATACATTACGGAATGAGCATTCTTGGAATTTTTTTCTTACATATTTTAGAACAATTGTTCTTGAAAATATTTTTGAATTTTAAAATATGAAAAAAAAAATCTGGAACGGATGTTTTCGAAGTTATTTTTGTATTTAGAAGTACATTTCGGAATATTAGTTTTGAATTTTTTTTTCATATTTTGCAATACTATTCTGATATGTATTCGAAAATTTATTTTCGAACAATTATTCTAAAAAATTGTTATATTCTAAAATAACTAATCTGATTCAGATTATGTCTTCTGAAACACGTAGGAATATATTTTTTACAATTTTCAAATCAAATGTTTTGAAAAACATTTTTTGAATTTGGAAATATTTTTTGAAATATACAAAATATCAAAAGTAAGGAAGTTTAAGAATTTTTATTATAATTAATAAGGGGTAGTTTGAGAAATACAATTTTTATGGGGGTGAAAGAAAAAAAAAGGAGTAAAGGAAGACAAACCCTAAAATGAAAAGAAAAGGAAAATGATAGAAATATGATGATGAAAAAAATAATAAAGATACAACTGATTTAAGATATCTTTATAATAAAAACTCCTATATTTTATTTTCTGTTTTTTATTTTAAATATTTAAATAGAAAATAAAGAATTTTTTTTATTCCAGACTGAAAAACTTATATACAAGAATTGATGGGTCTATTTTTTGTTTATTTGAAAAAGTTTATCAAAAAGAGATTACATAAACACGNCTTCTTCATCTCTGTCTTCATTTTCATCTTGGTATCTAATTTGCCTCCTTGCTGAGCACAAAACTGTTGTGCCTCTTTTTCTCAAATCCAAATCTTTGAGGGAATAAAAACACAAGCTTGAGTAATTGTGATTTGCAAGAGAAGATGGCAATGGTGATGGCATAAATATTGGCCATGAAGAAATGGGAACACTTTTCATTTGAAGTGTGGTGTGGTGCATGTTGTTGCATGTGTAGTTTTTTGGTTCTCAGATTACCTTGCTTGCTTTAAAACAACCAAATGAAAGAGTTGGAGATTATGGCTTCAAGATAAGGTTGGGTTTGGTGTGTTGGCAGTTATGGAAAGAAGGACTTAGAATCTCTTGAGGTTGAGAAATTACCCTTTTGGGTTCAAAAACAAACTAGTTTGAGAACTCTTTCTCTGTTAAACATGATGGGTTGTTGTTTCCAGCACTTCCGCAATTACTAATTGCACTCTCTCATAAATAGAACAAGGCTAAACTACCTTCTTTCATTACTAAAAAAATATTCAAACACTTTTCATGTGTTCCCGAAAGCTTTTTTCAGAGTGCATTCTGTGTGGGGTGTTTCGGAAAATTTATTTTAGAAGGCATTATTTGTATTTTTAATTGAAAAGTTTGTTCTGAACATTCTATTCTAAAATGTTTTTTCCAAAGTATATTTCATGTGTATAAAAACTTTTATTCTAAAATTCTCGTTCTGAAAAATTCATTCCGAAAACTGTAAAATGTTTGTTCCGGAAACCTTTTAACATGAAAACTGAAAGTTACTAAAAGTCGACATGATTTTGTGTGTCTGGTGAGGAAATAATTTTTTTTTTTAATTCATTGATCTTTTAGTTTCGCGTTGAGAGTGTACCAAGTATCAATTAATTAGAAAATTATTTGAAGTTAATATTTTATGATTGAAAAATAGTGTTGGAATTATTTTGCCGAGAGTGAATTCTATATTTTTAAATTCCTTACTATATAGAGGGAGGAGATTCACTTTTTGACGCTCAAAGAGAATTTAGATCTTTTATGAAGATCTTTTATGAATATACGGAGTATGAGTAATTATCAAATAAGTATTTTTTGAAAAATACTAGTTGTATTTATGAGATCCACATGAGTGTGAATCTAGGTTATCATTTGAATAATAATTAACTCAGATATATAATAATAGAATTGTTGGGAATCCATGTACGAGTCTAAGTCTCATATTAGATATAAATGAGAAAGTAGAGCAATATATAAAGGTGAAAGACCCATTAACTCATTGTCTTAAGATTTTGGGTGAGAGTGGCGACAATCCCTTATATGGTTGGGTTCATATGTCATTGGTGTTTGTGTCTTCCTGATGAACCCCCTCTTCGTTAGACCCAACAGTGGTATCAGAACCGATGGTTTGTCTTGGTAACCGGCTCATACGAGTATAATGGTCCTTGTATCGAAAGTCTTCTTGGCAAAGGGTATTTAGGCTGTTAAGATGAACAGTTGGAAAGGGCTACTCGTGATTGTGGTTGGTTGGGAATGCTTTCGTTGGAGGGGGAGTGTACTTGTGTGGAAGGGACTCACCCTTAAGGGATAGATTGTTGGGAATCCAAGTGTGAGTCTAAGTCCCACATTGGATAGAAATGATAAAGTAGAACAATATATAAAGGTTAAAGACCCATTAACCCATTGTCTTAAGGTTTTGGGTAGAGAGTGGTGACAACCCTTATATGGCTGGGCTCAGATGTCATTGGAGTTTGTGTCTCCCTAGTGAATCTTCTCCTTGATAGACCCAACAAGAATAGTTAATAATAACATAATGAATAATAACCATAATACCAAATTATTGAGATTAATTATGATATGTAGACATTCTTCCAAAAGATGTAGGTTGGGTCGTTTTAGAGTGGAGTTGAATCATATTCTTTAATATGTCTATTAGGCTGAATAGATAAGTCCCTTAGTCTCGGGAGTTTGATTTGACATACATGATCGTGTTTAATCTCTTGCTCGGGCCTTGACTGACTTGTATAGTCTGTAGATTGATTGGTCATTCAAGCAAACTCATGTATATGGTTTGGCCATCCGACCGAGTTTGCAAGTGAAAAAGATGAGGTTTGAGTGTTGTCTTTTCTTCTTTTGAGGGGTAGAAAGGGATGAATGTCTTGTTTGTAGGATTTCACCGTTGAGTATAATGCCCGTTGTGAGTAGTAGAAAAGATTTTACTCATAAGTCATGAGGATTAAGGGAGACAGGTCTAAAGTTGCATTGGAGAACCACTCAAACATGTGTCTTTTTTTGTGAACAGATTTTGTACGACAGAGTATGGAAGGACAACACTTGTTTTGACATTGCTTGACTGCGATTATTGTAGGGTGACTTACCTTTGGGAAGACATAAGATCTTAGAGATTGTTTGAGGATAACATGATTTGTTTTGGAAGAAAGGATTAGATTGAAGATTGATTGAATAACATAATATGTTTTTGAATTGGCTTTGGTTGGGTGATAGAATTATAATATTGACTTGATAATTGATTTAATGATATATTGTATTAATGATTTGATGTTTATTCTGGTTGATTACTTGTGTTTTTTTGTGTTTCTGTTTTGTACTCATGTTATATGGAATTAGATAATCTTATAAATGTCGTCGTTGATGAGTAAGGTGGTGAGATTTGGAGAGTGGTTAAATAATTTTTTATTTTAAACGATTTTTATTTAAATATTATGTAACAATTTTTATTTATTACTTGAAAATTTTAGATTTTTGTTTATATTTTTTATTTAATTGACCTTAAATAAATTAAGATTTTTATTATATTCGTTTTTAAGATGTTATTCTATTTTAAATTTGTGCAAATACCAATGTTTTGTACTTAAATGGTATCCTAGGTTGGAGGAAAGAAGATTTTTAGATAATAAATGTAAATTGATAGTTTATATGAGTGATATATTTTGAAATTTATATAAATAATGTATTTTAAATAAATTTATTGTAGAAATTGCATAAATAATATATTTATATAATTTTGTAGAAATGAATATATCTAAGCATTTAAAGATAAATTTTAAATAAATAGAAGATATAAAGTTTATAAACAAAGAATATACTTCATCGTTTATTTGGAGTCTATAAAGAGGAGGTAGTGTTTGATATTTGGTAAACTGTATGAAGTTTTCGATGATTTCTTTAAGTTTTAAAGAAAAACTTTTTCAGGAAGATATAAAAAAATTTAATATCAACGAGTCATAAACAAATAATATAAGAGATAAGACCAAACAAATCCTCAAATTTTAATGCATAATGAATTAAAATATTAAAAATTCCAAACTAACTTATTCCCACATCATCAAAGAATTTAAAAGTTTAAATTGATTAAAATAAAAAATAGTAGAAATTAGAAAATAACTTTCCTATAGTTATATGTAATTTTTCAATAATAAAATAAATCGAAAAATACATTTTCTCACTGTTCCCAGCAGAAGACAAGAGAGCTTAGAATTGAGGTAGACATGACTACACTTATTTGCAGTGTTGTGCAATAAAACTGGTAGGACATAAATAAAGTGATATGGAACATTTCTTAATTAAATATAATTATTTATTCATTTAATATAATCTTTGGCTATTTAATATCTTTGGCACCGTTATCATTTGCTTCTTCCCCCTTCAATTTTCCATTCCCACCTTTCCTTTTCCCTCCTCACGTTTCTCCAATTCACACGAATGTTCCTTTCTCCATTCACTCGCACCTTAAACTCTCTCTCTTCGTCTCCTTCTCCTTCATTCATCCATTTTTACCTTTAAACCTTTTCTCCTCACTTTCCTTTTCCGCTAGGGTTTCCATTCTTCTCCTATGCTCACTCTCCGCCATTCTGCTGCGCTTCTCCGCCTCTGAACTCTCGCCAAACCACGTCGTTGCTCTCCTCGCTCCCATGGCTCAGTCGCGTTCCGCCGCCGGCGCATGCAAGGGTGCCACGGCGGAGTTCCCGGCGGGGCTAAGGGTTTTGGTCGTCGACGATGACGCCACCACGCTGAGGATTATAGAGCAAATGTCAATTCGATGCCGTTACCGCGGTTAGTTAGTTAGTTAGTTATTTGCTTTCGACTGAACTTTCATTTTTCGGTTATATTCCTTGTTTTCTCACGAGATTAACTGGTAAGTAAATCACTGGTTCTGTGCTTGAGGCATTGCTTTATATCTTCACCACCGAGCTCGAGGATTGGCGCGAGATGTTCTTAGTTAATCACTGGTTTTGAATTCTGAGATTTTGAAATATATTCAATACTCGGCATATCGATAGCAGTGATCTTACCAGCTGGAAGCAGATATATATCTATGATTATTTATGTAAAAGAAACATTATTTTCTCTTCTAATTGTTCCCTCGAGTGAAATACCTTACTGGTAGGAGTTGGGAAGGCTACTTAATACGGAACTATAACATTGAGGTTCTCTTTCTAATTAACCAGTATTGAGTTGTTCTCTCCTCTTCTACTCAAGTCCTTACAACGTGTGCTTTCATTGAGAGTTGAGTTACGGTTCTCTATAGGCTATATATTATTAAGGTACAAACTGAATACTAAATAGGGTAGTAAAGCCGTCAAAGAGTATCACACTCAATAGAATAACTTACTCGGTGTAATACCTACGACTCGAGGTTCTCTTACCTAATGAATTAGTCTTTTGGGTTGGATTCGCCTCTTGTACTTAAGTCCCAACACCTACTTAGAAGTATTATGATTTATGGAAATTATGCAACGTGGTTTCTGATGTTAACTCACGGAGAAGCTTATTACTTCAAGTACGAAATTGGTGGTATGTTAGAAATTAAGGTTTGTTTTAGGGAACTGAGCTTAGTGCCACTTAAATGATGACAGTTTTTGTTATGTTAGGATCATGGATGACATTGTATCAGGTTTTCGAGACATGCCTAGCTTGGATTTGGTTCGTTTTATTGATTGTACCTATGGGGAGAAGGAACTCCTGGGAAGATTCTTCATATCCTCCACACGCCTCACATGCAAGATTGGATATTTCAAGGGGGGACTATATATTTATGAATGGTTTAATAGTTGCTTGTCAGTGGCGATAAGTTCAACAAATCTTGATACCATCTTAGTATTCTACAAAATTGACTTGTAAGAAAAGATTTGTATTTACTTCTATTTTATAATTTGACCATATCTCGAGTAGATGTGAAATATCCAACAGTTAAATTGAAAGACTGACTCAAATTTTGCCTTTCTGCAAATCCCTACGTTGTTCGACTATCCGATGAAGATTATTGTAAATAAATTGGCATATAGGTTTTGTACTTTATTTTTGGGTGTTATTATTTAGTGTGCTCAACTATGTGTAATGAGTGTGAAGAGGCTTGGTTTTTACCATGGGTTAAGGAGCTCAACAAAATTTTGTTTAAATATAATGGAGAATATTTATTATGCAGTCTACTTACTATGATCTAAATTTCAATTAAAACACAACGGCCTGAAAATCTGCAAATGATTTCAATAGATATTGTAGATCTAGTAAATGTCATGACATGGATTTCTTCTGATTTGCAACTTAGTCTTTATTTGAACTAAGCTTTTCTGTTTACTTGTGTTTTTATCTTCCAGTTACCACGTGCACTGAGGCTACTGTGGCTTTGAATCTTCTGCGGGAAAGGAAAGGTTGTTTTGATGTGGTACTGAGTGATGTTCATATGCCAGACATGGATGGCTATAAGCTCCTTGAACATGTTGGGCTGGAAATGGACCTTCCTGTAATTAGTAAGTGTTGTTCCCCTTGTCCTTAGAATAATAAGTGTCTTAGTAATGCTTAACATTTAGAAATATATTCTGCATTGTGCAGTGATGTCTGGTGATAGTACAACAAGTGCTGTTATGAAGGGAATTAGACATGGGGCTTGTGATTATTTGATTAAGCCTGTACGTGAGGAAGAACTGAGGAATATATGGCAACATGTTGTTAGGAAAATCTGGAATGAAAATAAAGAACATGATAATTCTGGCAGCATGGAAGATAGTGATTGGAATAAACGGGGAAATGATGATACTGAATATACTTCTTCTGTTGCTGATGCAGCAGAAGTAGTTAAAGCACCAAAAAAGAGGAGCAGTTTAAAAGAAGAAGATATTGAATTGGAGAGTGATGATCCAGCCACATCTAAGAAGCCTCGCGTAGTGTGGTCAGTAGAACTGCACCAACAATTTGTCAGTGCTGTGAATCAACTTGGGCTTGATAGTAAGATTCCCCTGCTATATTTTTCTTGCTATTGCTTCTATTTTTTCTTCTCAGTTACTAGACATAATTAGATTACAATAAGTATAATGCATAGATATTTTGCTTTTGTTTATTTAATCATTTATCACACTTTAACTTATAGATTGTTTCTTATCCTTGTTTTAGAGGCTGTGCCAAAGAGAATTCTTGAATTGATGAATGTCCCTGGTTTGACTAGAGAAAATGTTGCCAGTCATTTGCAGGTTAGTTTTTAGTTCAAAATGTGAAGCAATAATTTATCATTTTCCCCCAGAAATGCATAATTAATTTTGAGTAGTTGGATGTGCAGTCGATCTCGTCAGTTACACTGTTTATTTTCTTGGCTGTTTTAATTTTGTTAATTTTTTATTGTGTTATATCTTCTTTGTTAACACGGGGGTTACTTTTTATTTGGTTCAAATGCCAGCATATTATTTTCTTGTCTTGATGTCAATTTCATGTTGTTGCAATTATACCTTCTGAGCAGAAATTACCTTTGTGGTATCTCCTATAAACTTTAACTTCCACTGCTTGATACTCTTATGTGCATGATTAGTCTTTCTTACCACTGATGAGTATGCATCACTAGGGTTAGCTTCAACTAATGTGTACTATGCATTACACAACCGCAAGCTCAAATTTTTGTTATTAGAAAATCAATCGCTCCAAGCACTGATCAAATCAAGGTTTTAACTTATTTTTTTTGCTGTTCCAATTTTGATAGGGGTGGTTGACGAGGTTGCCTGTTGTGGATGAGGTCTTAGTTTTCTTGTTCCTTGAGACAACTTAAAGATGATGCTAAGAACTTTCAACAGTGTTGTCTGTCTTTGTTTTACTGTTGTGAATGAGAATGTGAAGTTACTTAGAAATGAAACATTGAAAATGATTTTAGCTGAGTTGAGAATCTTGATATGGATTATGCAGCACAACAGACTATTTGTTATAAAAAATATATGTTTTGACTTGAATCAATGGAATGAAAGAATGAGTGTATTGATGAATGAGAAAGGGGAGGGAGACCAGGATTGACATGGGTAGGATTGATAGCAATAATTTTGCAACTATGCAGCTTTTTTAGTTTCTCTTTTTTAAAATGACATGTGGTTAGTTGATATCATCGAAAGGTCAAGTATATGTAGAAATGAATCGTAACCATTTTTAAGTGATAAATGCCATTTATTGTAAGTTTACTGGTGTCAGAATTACGAGTTTATGCCCGTCATTTTTTACTAATCTGAAAATATTGCAATAATTGTGCGAGGAATATTGTCTGTTAATATGCAAATATTTGATCTATTTTACTAAGTAAGGAAATATATGTAGAGAGATGCGCTTGGGTGTTGTTGCTCTTAAGTGTAATTAACATTGTCGTTTGAACTACAATATTCATTTACAGAAATTTAGACTTTACTTGAAGCGATTAAGTGGAGTGGCACAGCAACAGAATGGGATGCTAAATGCAGTTCCTGGGACTATAGAATCCAAGCTGAGCGCTACTGGAAGATTTGACATACAAGCTTTGGCTGCTGCTGGCCATATTCCGCCTGAAACACTTGCAGCCCTTCATGCTGAGCTCTTAGGTCGCCCTGCAACTAACATATTGTCTACAGCGGACCAGGCCACATTGCTGCAAGCATCCATTGGGCTAAAACATTCCCATGCTGAACATGCTGTGGCGTATGGTCAGCCTTTTGTAAAGTGTCCTTCCAACATTGGCAAGGATTTTTCTCCCTCTTTCTTAACTGCAAATGACATGTCGTCAGGATATGGTGCATGGCCATCATCTAATAATACAATGGGTTCAGTGAGACCCAATAATAGCGATGAAAGAGTGGGTACTCAGTATAATAACATACTGATGGATATATTAGATCACCAACAAAGGCAGCAACCCCAGCAAAAACAACAGCAGCACCAGCAGCAAAAGCAACAACAACAACAGCCTCTGATACATGATCAGAGTTGTTCAATCAATGTTCAACCATCTTGCTTGGTGGTTCCATCTCAATCCTGTGACACTCTACAGGCAGTAAACGGTTCTGCTTCTGTCAATCAGAATTGCAGTTTTGGCATGAATGCCGTTATTGATTATAGTTTATTGTCACAGAAATCAAATAATTCAGTTAGTGCATCTCAATTTTCCGGTGGGGACACAAAAGCTCGAGCTGTTCTCTATGCTCATACTATGCCCTCCACTTGTTCTATGAGCTCCATTAATGGCAGTATTCAGCAGCTTCAAAACTCTACTTTGACATTTGGTGGTGCAAGACCTTTGCCTAGCCCTTTGCCCATGTCTGATAGACAAGATCCCTATGGTTTGAAACCAGGTGATTCATTTGATCAAGTGTGCCTTAGGAATATTGGGTTTATTGGTAAAGGTACCTGTATTCCAAATAGGTTTGTTCAAAATGAAATTGAATCATCTGTCAGTGATTTTAGTCAAATGAAAGTCAATGTAGATAGCACTGGCAACGCACTGAAGGAGGAGCCAAATTTTATAAGTATGCAAAAAGTGAGTCGCCCAATCGTTGAAAGATATCAATCTTGTGATCATTCAAGTGTGTTTACTGAATAGGTAAGTTGATGACTATTTGAGTGTTATGTTTTATAAGAATGTGAATATTAGTTTAAATCTAGATCCTCAATGATTTGACTATTATTTGTTATTGGAGCTTATTGTATGTATCATGTTATGTTTCTGTACAGGTTGCTTGCTAATTTAAACTTCTAAATTAGACTTCCAATAAAATAGTAGTTATCCGTGTTTTTGAGTGTCTGGATATGTGTATTTGTATTGTCTTTGATATATCTCGAAGCTAGATATAATAAATAACTACTGCAGAAATGTGTTGAGAGTTTATTAAAACCATGAGGAGGAAGATTTTCGGCAATTACATTGCATATTTTTCTTCCAAAATATGCTAATAATTAAATACCAACTAGGATGCTTTCCACTAAAAGGTCGAAGATATTGTAGCAACTAGCAAGCTTTGGGATCACACAAGTTCTGTTAGGTTCCTAGATAGAGGAAACCAGGAAAAACCCACTGCAACCACCTATGCTCACTGCGTAGAACTATTATTATTGATTCTGGGCACAAATACAGTATGTGAGCAGCCAAGGGACAATGTTCCCTTCACACAGGATGCCAAAGATCCTGTCAACCCTTCTCCAAACTATCAAAAACGTCCCCTGCACACAAAGACCCCCCAACTATATATAGGAAGCCTCATTCACCCTAACAACCTACTAACAACTACTTTTTAATATGTTTCCTCCTAACATATACATTACATATCCTATCAATTTCAGTATTATAATTTCTCACTCCTTTTGATGTTCCTTGTTTATTTTCTATATCTGCATTTTTGAACAAAATTTAATTGAGGAATAGCAGAAAGTTGAATGGACTTGCTCCTTTTCTCCTCCCTTGTTGCTTCAGTCGTTGATATTCCTGGATTACGCATTTCCCTGTTCTAAGTTCCTGTCTTTCAAATTATATTTGTCATCACCTTTATGTTGGTTGTGAATGCCTTAATCTTGTTTGCAACAGGTTGAAATATATTTAGCGAGAGAAGACCTTTTCATACATGTACAAAGGTAAAATCCTTCATACCGAGTAAGTCTTCATTGGGCAATGAACCAAATAGTCGTTTAAAAAGTTCTTTCCACGAAGGTACAGATTGATTCCTCAGTCTTAGATGAGTATTGTAACTAGCTTATCTTCATTGGCTCTACAATAGAGTCCAATGAAAGCTTGCCGAGTATAAAGAAAGCGGAACTATTATGGCTTCTGAAAAACTGAAGTAGAAACAATGTGTACGTTTCTGGAAAGGCATTTTCTCATCATGGTGCATTGTAAAGCCCAAGGAAGAGTGTCTATATAAATATTTAGTCTTTATAGGTGTGTTGGTTTGCTTGTTTGTAGGTGCACATGTAATCTAGGAATGTTCTATAATCTATGAACTAGTCTGTAGGGAAATAAAACCTTTTGCTAACTTAAACTGTTTGAATTGATGGCTTATTGCCAGCATAAATTTATCTAGGAATTCTTTTGTTTATCATGATAAATGCTTGGTGACTATCCATTATGAAAGTAGTCTAAGTGTGTTTAGTGTAGTGTCTAATCATACTAATGGTCTTCTTACTTATGTTTGTCGTTTTAACTGCTCATAGATGTTAGTTGAGAACTTTAATATTTAGGGTAAAATGCAATGTTCACCCTTAGAAAGTTCCGTTGTATTTTCCATTCTTTATAATTTTGGTCAAAGTATTGTTTTTTCAATTAATTGGCTTCAGTGAGTTGCACCGATTTATCATTTAGCTTGTTTAGATTCGTGGTAGGAATCCACGTTGGGAATAAAATCGTGGTGAAATGAAGGCGAAGGTAACTATTTGTTACTTTAGAGCATGGTAAGAATCCACTTAGAGTCTGTCTGGAAAGTCTGAATTGTCCAATTTTTAAAGATTGTACATTTTTAAAGATTGTCCATATATGTTTGAGTTTTGATTATAAACTTCTGAATAATTTAGTCTTAATCTATATTTACAGAGGTGTAGGAAAAAATGTGGAGGTAGTAAATAAAATATCTACTAGCAAAATGAGATTCAATCAGCTTTTTTTTTTTGAAGTTATCAATGAATAAAAGAAACAGATATATCTTATTATTTATTTATTTATTTTTTCAATTTGATTTTTGTTAATAAAAGGTTGTTTCTCAATTTTTAAACAATATCATCCTTTCAAAGTTCCATTAATATTTTTATAATTTAAAAATGACAATGAAAGAATTAGTTTTAAACAGTCGCTTTATTTTGATAATAAATTATCTTATTAAAAATATCAACATTTGCTCACAATTTTATCATTAATTGGGTAAGTATGCTTACATTGTTGTTTTAAATAAATAAATGATTTGATTGAATCTTTTATTAAAATTGGGATCGATATAATAAATAAATAAATGAGACTCAGAAACTACATAATATATTTTAAAAAATCAATAGGTTTTAGTTACCATCATTTAAACTTTGTGTTGATTGCATTTTGACATGAAAATATAAATATGATCCATCTGACATATATTTATACATTTTTTTTCTATCTACTTATATAACGATAAATGTTAGGAAATTCTTCTATTCTTTTAAATTTATCATTTTCTTTATTGGCTAACATTTGTTAAAATTTATTACTATGAATAAATGTGTTAGAAGGTATGTTAACATCATGATAATTTATTGATATACACTGGTCATAATATCTTGTATTACTATAAAAATTTTATTAATTCACGTCAATAGTTGATAGGATGACACTCGTATTTTTTTTGAAAATATATTATTTAAAATAAAATATTATTGAGGATGAAGTTGTATTTATGGAGAACTAACAAAAAATTCCGTACTTTAGTTATATGTAAACATTAGCATGTCACTGTTGAACCTTTTGGTGAACACTGTTAGCTAAACTTGTTCGCCAAACTTGTAGTTTGTGTAGACATTGGTTTGGATTTTTTTTGATAAATTTTTAATGTACACAATCTGAAGACTAAAGGTATTTTACTTGTCGACTTTTTGGGCTATCTTTAATCTTCTTTAGCAAGTTAAAATTTACAAAATTCAATTTTTTCTATAAATCTGTCTGGTTCAATTGTTATGTATTATTTAATATTATAAATTAATGTGTTTTCAAATAACTTTAATTTTAACAGCTAAGTAATTGATTGTTATTTGATTTTAATTTTTATTCTCATGTTCTTTTTGCAATCAAATAAAGTATCCCACTAAATTATGTAGAGCACATGGATATAAAATGGAATTGTGGTTCTAAATGTTTCACAGTAAATAAATTTATATTAGAAAAACAAAATTCAACATCCTATTATTTTAATTAAGCGTTAAAAATTTCTAAAATATCATTATGTTTCATATGATAATGTAACAAATAAATAACAGATCATATAAGATATAAATGTTTTGTTTTATAGATGATATAATACCATGCAATCTTAGTTTACATCTAATAAAATGAGAAAGCTATTAGCCGATGATAAAACATAAGATCTAGAAAGCACTTAAATCGAATAAAATCTCGATATTGTTAAACAAATCAACCATCTTTAGCTTATGATTTAGATAATGAGATATTGAGAACTAGAAAATTGTGAATTTAATGAAATTTTGATGAATTGAAGTGAATTTTATAAGAAATTGAACACTATGCATCTAGGCCAAAAAATGCCTCTAAACAATAAAGACA